TATGGATGAATGTATGAATAATTGAATGAATGAATGAATGAATGAATGAATGGAGAGATGCATGGATGAATTAATAGAGAGTTGAATGAATGATTGCATGAATGAATAAATGAACAAATAGAGGGATGCATGGATGAATGAATGATTGGATGGATGGATGAATAAATAAATGGAAATATTAATAAATTTTAACTCATTCACTCACTCATTCATTCATTCATTCATTATAAATGAATGAATGAATGAATGAATGAATGAATGAATGAATGAATGAATGAATGAATGAATGAATGAATGAATGAATGAATAAATGAATGAATGAAATGTTTTAACAGTGTTCCCATTTTTTATTTTAGTAGTCATTTTTGTGTTATTGACCTTAACATGAACACATGTCAGAGTATATACTCCTTTGTATATATAATTGTTAGAGCAGTTAATTAATGCGATGTACTGTAAATATTTACCAGGGTGTGAGGAGGGCTGAGTTGTGTGTCAGCGAGATGAGAAGTGAATGCAGCAGCGTTACACAAGAGTTTAAAGCTCTTCATCAAGATTTTATTGTCCGGTTTGTGTTGCCAAGTATGAATGCTTGTGTGAGATAATGTTGATGGTGGATTTGGGGAAGCTTGTGATGAATGCTGTGTTTTTCCGAAGCGTCTGTGTACTGATGTGACCCGCTCTAATGGGGTTTATCATTTAAATTACTGTACAATCATGCAGGAACCATCAGAAGGAGTTACTGAAATACATCACATTCTGTAGCATAGAAAAACATATTGATGCCAATTAGGGGCTTTTAAAATCTAGAGCTGGATTACAGTAATATACTGTATAAAGCCAGCAAAAATAAAGAGCAGTTCTTATATTATTTTACTGTAAAGTATCCTAAAATTGAGTCTCCAACAATAGGTTTAGATGCATCTAAGATCAGAAAACATTGCAATTTTGTCAGAATATGATGATGGCTACTTCCAGCAGGATAACACACCATGTCATGAAGCGTGAATCATCTCAGACTGGTTTCTTGAACATGACAATGAGTTCACTGTACTCAAATGGCCTCCACAGTCACTTGATCTTAATCTAATAGAGCACCTTTGGGATGTGGTGGAACAGGAGATTGGCATCATGGATGTGCAGCCGACAAATCTGCAGCAACTGTGTGATGCTATCATGTCAATATGGAGCAAAATCTCTGAGGAATATTTCCAGAAGCTTGTTGAATCTCAGCCATGAAGGATTAAGGCAGTTCTGAAGGAAAAACAGGGTCCAACCCGGTACTAATAAGGTGTACCTAATAAAGTGGCCGGTGAGTGTAACTTTTTCAGATAAAAAAGGATGCTCATTTAGGATGTTTCTTAAATATCTGGAAACATATGGTAATGTTTCTGGGATATGGAAACAATATGGCTTAAATATATAGAAACACTATGGTAAAGAGTCAAAATGGTACATAGAGCACCTTTAGGGTGTGTAAACCCCACACTTCCATTAGCCGACTCTGCTCTTACTGGTCAAAAATGTTTTTATTTAAAACTATTAATTTATTTAATTTTATTTTGATTTAATGTTTATTAAGTGTTCTTCTCAACAAGCTAAAATAAATAATATAAAATAAAATAATAAATACGGACGTTTCCTAATAATTTATGGATGGATGAATGAATGCAAGAGCTAGCCAAGTCTGTTTTGATCGATCTTCCAGTGTCTATTTCATGTCGGAAATGGATGTTTAGAATGTACGTATGTCACAGGAGGAGGAGATTATGCAAATCAGACCCTTTGATCATGTTGACATGGATTGGTAAACCACAAAATATTTTAAAATTTAACGACTCGTTAAGGCCATTCAAAGACAACTCTTTAGGGGCTCTATTTTGACGATCTATGCGCAAAGTGCAAAGCGCAGGCCGCAAAAGCATTAAGGTCCTTTCTGAATCCACTTTTGCTATTTTAAGGACGGAAAAATCCAGTTTGCGCGTTGGCGCATGGTCTAACAGGGTTGAGCTTATTCTCTTAATGAATTAAACCATTCAGAGTCTCATCTCCCATTCCCTTTAAGAGTCAGTTGCGTCGCGCCATGGTGCATTTGCTATTTACATGATGGACTTTGTAATTGTAAAAACTGAACACTTCACTTGCTAGAAAACAGTTAAACAGATCATCTGCAGCGCGAGAATAAGAGATGAGCCTCCTCATTCTTTACTTTCACTTTCGCTATCGTGGATAGGAAAACGAGTTGTACGCACAGACATCCATTAGCCTATACATAATTAATTTCATTTGTTAAGCGCAAAGATTTGCTTCAAAATTATTTCTAAATTCAGTTCTAATTTCCAGCAAATGAATAAATGAACACTAATAACAAAGTGTGCTCAAACAACTGAGTTATATCCAAATACACATGCTGTGCCCCATATGGTCTAAAACCTGACAGGTGGACAAATCTAAACTTGTTTTTAATAAAACAAATATAAATATGGATATAATAAATAATACTGCTAATAATAATAACATTATACACAGGGGCGCAACTACACATTTACTGAGGGGTATGCAGGTTCAAATTTTGTGTGATCCCTCTTATTTTATATTAATTAATTAATAATAAATGAAGATTTGAGAACCAAATTTTTTAAGACAAATTTTCAGATTAATCTTATAACTTTTGACATTATGTATGATTTGACAGTTTATTTTGATA